TTTGGTTTTAATTGGAAACTGTCTCTTTAAATTTCAAGGAGATTTGTGCGCATGCGTAGAACCTTCTGAGGGTGGTGCTGGGGTCCCACTAGCTCAGGCACCCCGATAGTCACCAGAATGGAGGTACACAGACAGCAAGGGACCAATGAACAGCTCTCAAGAGAAAAGAATGTCCACACCTTTATCTCTGCGGTTCTGTCAGGCGTCTGTGGCCGCTCTGATCCTTTCCCACTTGGTCTCACCCAAGATGGCGGTGCCTGGAGCAGCTGAGCGTCCTGGACTAGAAAGCAATGGATTTCTTTCTTCTGCCACAAATTCCCCCAGCTGTAAGCCTTCCAACCTTCTAAATATTCCTTTATATGTAGTTCAGAGTTCTGGGATCATCCCCTGAGCCTGCTTGGTCGTGTATTCTGTGTTGTTGCTGGTGGAACTCTTATTGCACGTCCACCCTATCTGCCATCTTGTTTGTTCCCCCTAGAATTGACTCTTGAAAAGCAAGTTGTGTCCTCTGGATAGCCATGGTTGAGAGGAAGTGGATAAGGGAATAAGGTGGACTGTATTTCAGACAAATGGAATATCAGATGCAAAGGTGGTGGTGGTGGGGAGCTGAGACAGTATGCTGAGCTTAGGGCAAACAGAAAAGTAACCAGAGGTCAGGTGTAGGGCTAGCTTGGGGGCAGAGCAGTTAAGGAACTCCCTTGGTGCTCTCTTAGCTTCTTAGTGCTGCTGTGACGGCAGTACTACAAGTGGGTGACTTTAATGAATGGACATTTATTTTCTCACAGTTTAGGACACAAATTTTCTTGAATTTGAAATCCAAATTCAAGGTGCTGGCTCTAGGGGAAGTCTGTCTTCTCTGGGGTAAATCCTTGTCTCTGTTTCTCTAGCCAGCTATGCTTGGAGTTCCTGGGCTTGTAGACTGGTTGACTTCTATTAACCTCAGATAATGTCGGCCTTTCCCCTGTCCACTTAATTCTGTGCCCAATCTGTTCTTCCATATCTCAAAAGTGATAGGCTTAAAACACACCCGGCATGTCTATGGCCTCATTACCATAATAAAGAAAACCCTATTCCCAAAGGAAATTACATCTATTTTATAGAGGTTAGGATTTAGGACACTTATTTTTAGGGATGCAATACCATCCATGACAGGTGTCAATCTGAAAGAGGCACTCAAAAACAAAAAGGATGTCAATTAACCAAACCACACACAGCTCTTTATACAGCTGGTGAAATTGATCACATTTCCTTGAGGTAACAGTGTACTTGAATGTGAATTTAAACTAAAAAAAAAAATTCTCCTGGCTGGAGAGTCCAATTATATTATATTCAATTCATGTAATTAATTCTTTAGATGGTATTTTAATCTAAAAAGGTTTATAATTCTTTCATTCTCACTCTGAAAAGATATGGAGAGAAAATTGACCTATTTATGTTTGCCAACTGATTAGACTCCTATTGCTGTCCTGAAGAAGACCTCTATCTAGCCCCCTCTCCACTGAATTCTAGATAATTTCACCTTTCTGTGCTTAAGGAGCACTGGTGGTGTTGTAGGATAAGCACTGGACTGCTAACTACAAGGTCAGCAAATCAAACCCACTAGCTTCTCAGGAGCTCTAGTAGCACAGTGATTACTAGTTGGGCTGCTAACCCTGAGGTCAGCAGTTGGAAACTACCAGCTGGTCCTTGGGAGAACTTTCTGCTCCGGTAAGGATTTACAGCCTTGTATACAAAGTCACTATGAGTCAGAATCAACTTGAAGGTTTTCTCATGAAAAATATTAACACTAGTTATAGGCATGTGTCAAGGAGCTCTGGTAGCATAGTGGTTACGAATCAGGCTGCTAACCTTAGGGTCAGCAGTTCAAAACTACCAGCTGTTCCGCGGGAGAAATATGAGGTTTTCTGCTCCCGTAAAGATTTGAGTCGGAACCGACTCCATGGCACGTAACAGCAACGTAGGTTTGTGTCAGGGATGAATTAAATAACATATATAAAGTTCTTAGCACAGTCCTGCATCATGTTGTTGTTAGGTGCTATCAAGTCAGCTCGGACTCTTAGCTACTCTCCGCACAACCGAACCAGCACTTCCCATCCTGCCTCACCCTCCCCATTGTTGTCAATTCATCTCATTGATGATCTTTCTCTTTTTCGCTGGCCCTCCACTTTACCAAGCTTTGTGTCCTACTGTAGGAATGATCTCTTCGGCAACGTTGTTATTGTTGTTAAGTGCTATCAGCGGGTTTCAATTAATAGCGACCCTACATAGGGTTTCCAAGGAGCGTATGGTGGATTTGAACCGCCCTTGCGGTTCACCATCCAGTGCTTTATACCACAGCGCCAAGTAAGCACTACTTCGCGCATCTTTCAGTGAGGGGCTGCATTTTTTTATTTCTGTACTCAGTTCCCGCGGTCTTTACGATACCAGAAGTACCAGGTTCCAGTTACAGAGAGAAGAGGGCGGTGTGCAGAGTAGGAGGTGTAAGAGGTCAGGGTGCAGAGGTGAGAAGGCAGTTGGTTGAAACGATGTGCAGAGTAGTCTCAGTAGAGGGTCTTGGACTTCGGTTACCTTGGCGATTTTAGCCAGAAGACTTAATCTGCAGGGTCTCGCCGACTTTCGCTTTTTTTTCCCCGCCCTTTCTTTTGGTTTAATTCCGCCCCCTTCCTCTCCAAGAGGTAGAAGTCAAACGCCGATACAGACGCCGACGCGGTTGCCTAGTGATACAATTTTCCCAAGATGCCTAGGGTGGTGCTGTATTCCTCTTAGCCAACCAGAGAGTCTGAACGACCCTCCCACCAGCCAATAGACTACGAGGTCAGAGTCCGCGACGGTTAAACTGGGCTAGAGCCGTGTCGGGGAGTCAGTGCGACTCAGAAGGTCTCTCTTGTTCGGTGAGTCTCTGGAACCGAGACTGTATCCCAGCGACTTGTAGGACGTCACACGAACCCGGAGGCCGACCCAGCCATGCCGTCCCGGGCCGAGGACTATGAGGTGCTGTTTACCATTGGCACGGGCTCTTACGGCCGCTGCCAGAAGATCCGGAGGAGGAGCGATGGAAAGGTGAACACTAGCCCCTTCCCCTTCTTCCTGGTCCGTTTCCCTGACATGGCTTCGAGCTCCCCGGGGGCAGGTGCTTTGTGCCCCTGAAGAAAAGTGAGAGGCTTGGGCTGGGTACCTGGAAGACTTAGTAGTCTTCCCTAGATCTGCTTTTCCCTAGACATTCTGCCATGCAATACTGAAGGGGTGGGAGACAATGTTTAATGTATATATACTGTAATTTCCCTCCCTCTCAGATTTCCTTCAGATTTCCGGCTCTCATCTGCTCTGCGTCCTCCCTAGGTGACAGATAACTTCCCCCCCCCCCATTTTAATAGAAGCGCGGTCCTGTCAGTTATCAGAAAGGGGCGTGACCTCCAGAACCTGCATTTTTATGTCTTGCGATCAGAACTCATGTAAAATGCTGATCATTAGAACTACTGGATTCGTTGTGTGTAGGTAGACCTTTCACTGAAAGAAATAATTAATAGTGAGGAAGCTGCCTGACTGCTGATTGGACAGGCTTTTATTTCTGCTTGGGAAAGTGTGGGCAGTCGGAATTACCCAGGATTTTGCCCTCCTGTTCCCCTAGCTTTGATTAAATTATCTTTTTGCAACCTCCCACTAAACAACTTGGATTCCTGGTGTGGCTGGGATAAAGCACTGGCCCGCAAAGTCGGTTTGAACCACAAAGCCTGTGGTTCAAACTCCAGCCGCTCCTCCAAAACCCTATACAGGGTCGCCATGGGTCCAAAGTGACTTGGCAGTAATTAACAACTAAACAATTTAGGATAGAGTGTGCTGATATCAATGGGCTCAAGCTGTGGCAACAACTGTGAGGTTGGCCCAAGACCAGACAGTGTTTTGTTCAGTTGTTGGTTCTTTCTATTGTCGCTATGAATTGGTACCAGCTTGATGCCACCTAACAAAATGCTGATATATCTCCTGCCCCTAATGGAATCCTGGTGTGGCTCTGTAGGATAAACACTTGATTATAGAGTGCTCTGGTGGTGTAGTGGTTAGGAGCCAACTGCTAACCTCAAGGTCAGCAATTTGAAATTGCCAAAGGTTCTGTCTGCAGGAGAAAGATGAGGCTTTCTGCTCCTGAAAGATTTGCAGCCTAGGAAACCCTGTACAGGGTCGCTATGAGTTGGAGCCGACTCCATGGCACACACCCCCTT